CATCATCATCATCATCATCATCATCATCATCATCATCATCATCATCATCATCTTTGTATAGAAGTACAATAAGAATGCTCTGGGAATGCTAATATATCAGAGGATGTAACTTATGGACAAAACTACAGCAGTCCTCAAACCTTATCCAAAACTTTGTACACAAATTTGCCCCAAACTTCAAATTGTTACATAACAGAAGCGGAGCAATATTAAATATATAGGGAAAAAGTCATATTAATTGAGGTTTCATTTTTGTTTTAGCCCTATCCCCCTCTTTCTCTTGGCCCCACTCACTTTGGGGATTGGGCCCCTGGCACAACACTAAGAAGTGTCATGTATCCTTTAGCCTGAAAAAGGTTACAGACCTGTACACTAAGTCATTGCAGATAGTCCTCAAGTTACAGTGGTAACTTGACTGGGACTGGAATTTCCATCGCTAAGCAATACGGTCGTAAAGCATGAAGTCACATAACTGCATTGCTTAGTGACAGCAGTCCTGGGACTCCCCACTGCTGTCGTTAACCAAATTCCACCGGTCGTTAGGCAAGGACCCACCCCAGTCCAAGTCATTCTGGGCTTGGTCCCTCCCAGCCCCAAGCCTCATTTCTTCCAAGGAAAGGACTGCCTCCCCTTCAACTCCCCACAACTGCCTATTCCCTCCCATCTCTGCCATTTTGGCTGCCCTGAAGCCTGCCTTGTGGGGTGGCAAGCAGCCTTAGAACCACTGTGCTGCAAGAAGCCCCTGAGCCACAGCGCAGCACAAAGCCGCAGCCACCCCAACTGCCCCAGCTGTGCAGCGCAAATCCCCAGCTGTACCGGGAATTCCCAGCAACCCCAGGACCATGGAGCAAAGCCGCAGTGTCCCAGGAAGCCCCAGCTGCCCCAGCCACATGGCACAAAGCCCCAGCTGTCACAGGAAGCCCCAGCCACCCCAGGAGCACAGGGCAAAGCCACAGTGGCCTGGGAAGCGCCAGCAACCCCAGAAGCACAGCACAAAGCCACAATCACCCCAGGAAGCCCCAGCTGTCCCAGCCCAATCCCAGCCACAGTTGTCCTCACCACCCTGCACTCCGAGACCCCTGTTTTCTTGGTTCCACTGCTGACAAGGCATGCCCACCCTGGCTCTTCGCAAGGCAGCTGGTGGTCGCATGAGGGCATCTTTCCCAGGCCTCATGAGGAAACCACCATGCATGATATTGGAAAGAAAGCCTCGTGCAGCCAGCAGCTGCCTTATGAAAGGCCAAGCCAGGCATGCTTGGTCAGCGGCAGGAGCAAGACGGTAAAGGTCAGCTAGGGCAGCAGGGGCTGTGGAGTACAGGGGGCCAAAAGGGTATAGATGTCGGGCGGGGGGGAGATAGGCAGGGGGAAGTTGAAGCACCCCTGCAGTCGTAAGTGTGGGCAGTCTTCCAAGCATCTGAATTTTGATCATGTGAGCATGGGGACACTGCATTGGCCATAACTTTGGGGACTGGTTGTAAGTCCCTTTGTCTAGCCCCACCATAACTTCAAATGGTCACTGAATGAATGGTCGATAAGCAAGGACTATCTGTACATAGTGTCATGTCTGCTGGGCTCTTGTTTGACAAACAGAAATGACACCAGAGTGCTTTGATTATAACTTTGGTGCCACAATGGGAAGAACACAACATCTTCTGTTATCTTTCCAAAATTCTAATAACTTTGAGCACACTTTGGTTCCATAGTAAATTAATTACCAGGATACTGCCATCAGAATACTTTAAAGTTGTACCTCATTTGCTCTCTTATGTACTCAACATGAAATTTGTATATTCTTTCTGCATATTCTAATCTAAAGGGCTGTTTAGTTTCATCCTTATTTCTTTGCTGGGTTTAAAATTGTAATTTTATTTATTAAGTGAGCTATTATTCACTGTTGCATAATGGAAGGAAACTTTCTCATTTATGAGCAATATTGTTTAGTACTTAATTAGTTCAACCTGCATATTCCAGTTAAGTGAAAATTCCAGTCTGGGAACATTGTGCAATTAATTCTCAATAATACCATCAAAAAGCAAGCACACATACAAATAACCCACCCTTTGTAGTATATCATGCTGAAATACTCCCTGCTCTTAGCAAAGGTTATGAAATGTATTGATCAAGTTATTGGTTGTTGCAAGGTACATTTATTTCTGTTTTGTTTTTGTTTTTTTAAATCTGATTATGCTCAGTATTCCTGAACAATGCTTTCTGCATTTTGTGCTTCTTTACAGGTAGTCCTTGGCTTACAATTGCATTTGAGACCAGAATTGCCATTGCTAAGCAACGCGGTCATAAAGTGCAACATCACATGACTACGTCACTTAGAGACAGCAATTCTGGCAGTCCCAGTTGCTGTTATTAAGTGAGGACCTCGTGTGACTGTGACATCTGACTTCCTGCCGGCTTCTCTATTGACTTTGCTTGTGGGAAGCCAGAAAGGGATGTCAGAAATTGTGATCATGTGACCATGGGAACAGTGCAACTGTTGAGGACCCATCATAAGTGCCATTCATTCAGTGCCGTTGTAACTTTGAATGACCGCTGAACGACTGGTCGAGGACTACCTGTATTTAAACAAGATACTTCCCATGTTCATTTATTTGGTTTCTTGAAAATTGCATGCATTGTTAGGTGGCTAGACAAAACTTTGAATGTTTTAGCAGTCACTAAATTGACAGGTGTGGCTTTTAATCTAAGTAATTTTTAGAAAAGTGTCTCAGTCCACCTTTCACATGAATTATTTCTGCAAGAATTTTAAGAATAACTTTTGCCTACTTTAAATGTATGTATGTGTTTGTGTGGGTGTGTACTTAAAAGGACTTTAAGTCACTTCAGTTTTGTCCCAGTAACAATCAAATCAATTACTTCTTTCAGGCATCTTGCCTCCTGATTCATTTTTTATTATCCCAATAGGCGCTGGAGTTCCCCAGTTTCAGCCAATTGCCTTGAATGGGCGCATCCAGCTTCTGACAAATGGCTCCTTGTTGATCAAGCATGTTCTGGAAGAAGATAGCGGATACTACCTCTGCAAGGTCAGCAATGATGTGGGGGCTGACGTCAGCAAGTCCATGTACCTCACTGTTAAAAGTAAGAATTTCTTCTGATAGTAATAACTATTGAGTTGCAAAAGGATAGCTTTCAGCTCCTGAATTAAAATATATAGCATTCATTCTAAGGCACACCTGCACATTTTTCTTGCTCCAGCAGAATCACTTGGTTACAGTTTAGTTAAGGAAGATTAAGTGGGCAAAGGGAAGGGCTGGGATTTTCTATGAAACATTTCTGTAAGGTCAATGAGCTCCTTGAACGTTATACTTTTGGAGTACAATGAGGCATCTTGGTGTTGCTGATACACGTTAAACTTGGACAGAGCTTAGATAAAGATCACTACAAAGTGCTTCAGAATACCTTCACAGGAGGTGCTTACCTTTTCAGTTGACTTTCTTACTTCATTGTAATGAGAGTAATATTGTCCACATTCTGCGAGTGAGAATCATGAGGTTTTATATTGGTTGGTTTGGAAATTGGTGATTTTCAGCCCCAAATATACATTCTTAAATGTGTACTAACTAGGTCATTCAAAGTAAATAATTAAATTTCTGAACATCATCATTCAAAATGTGGTGAAATGCCACTCAGTAGAATTTCCAAAAAAAATTTCTTTTCTTTCTTTTTGATTTGAATTCGAGGCTACACTCCTGAATGGTGTGCTTAAACAAATAAAGGCTTTTGGACCAATACCAAAATATTTTAGTTCTGTTCCATCAATTTTTAAGATCTGATGTGGTTACAAAGGGGACTACCTAAATGATGACTTTCTTTTCTTAGAAAGTGGGGAGGGGGACCCAGTGAGAACAGCTGAATAATCTCCAAATGTCTCAAAATGAATATTGGACATTTTTAATCAAAAGCTGCCCTTTTGGTGATGAATCCATAGTGAATTTCTGCAAGCGGAAAAGCTGTATAATGAATTTTACCTGGAGTCACAAGACATGATCTTATTGTAAAAAAAATGCAGCGTTCAATCTGCCAGTCATGATTTACTATATATACTCAAATCAATTTGGTGCAGAGAAAGTTGTACAACTAATAATCAAAGCAATGGAAGAATACAGACTACAGAAACTTTTGCTAGTCTTAGTTCTTTTATTTTGGTTATTTGAAAAGGGCTATTATAACCCTCTTAAATTCACATTATAACAAAAGAAAGAGGGGCAGTGGTTAGATTTTGAATTGTATTCACTGATAAATATGAAGGCTTTAATTTAGTATAGGTTGTTTGTATATGCCAGAATCATCATCCCCAAGTATGCTCTTCCCTAGAATAATAGAAGTGGACAACTTGATGCCTTCCAGATGTTTGGGCTACAGCTTCCATAAGTTCAGTTATCACGATTGGTATTATGAAAATTATAATATGAAACATCTGAAAAGTGCTAAGTTACTTCGCTTTTCAGTATAGAATAGAAGAGAAAGCCATTTTTGTCCCAATTAAGCTTGAACTGACCAATGTAATGCATCAGGCAGCGGATAAGGTACTGCTGTTTTTAGAATTGGGATGACACCCATTTTTTCAAAGCAACTGTTAAAGGCAGTTATGAATAGAGAGTAATGCCCTATCTTTTGTCATTCAGATAGAAAAATAAAAACAACCTACCAGCTTCTCCTTAGTTGACAGCTGTAAAAGTCTCAGTCTGATTATACTATGCAGTTTCATGTGTCATAAAAGAGCATCTCTTATCAAGTAGGAGCAAAGATCTCTCAGGAGATAGTTATCTTTTGAATCAAATAAAAGCTTCTAGCATCAAGTAACAAAAATATAAGTATGTTCAGTCATTTATTTATTTGTTTAGATTTAGGAGCCACCCAGGTCAGTTCTGGGCAGCTCACTCTTTTTTCTGTTCACACCTACATTATGTAAAGCAGCTATAGTTTGCAGTAGTTGAATGGCAGACCATATTTCATCTAGATCAAATCTAGATAAACATTTAACTGGCTTCAATAGACAATAGTAAGCAATAGTTATGAGGGATAGGTGAAATGTTTGTACCTTTATTCTTTCAATTCATTGCTGCATGGTTTCATTGCAGTATTTGCTTCAGTCTCTTTGCTGGCTTCCTTATTCCCTTTCCCCTTCATTCTTATCAGCTAATACTATTGGATTATCTGCTCCAGTGCTGTGGTGTAGGCATGCTAGTAGAGGAAAGTTTCGAGCTCCATTCCAGTGTAACTCATCCCACTAGTCTAATTGGTCCCATGTAATCTGCTTGTCCAGTCTACAGAGACTCTTTCTAGCTGCCTCTCCATATGCTCAAAATAAGACAAGGGAGGAAATGTGCTATGGGCATCATTTTCTGAGTGGTGAGCTTAGAAATAAATACAGGTCTTAAACTTACAAAATGACCTGTGAATATTTTATGACTTGCTTGGATGACCCACCCCTACCCCACACTGTTTCCTTCATAATTAGAAGCTTTCAGCACACATTTTTACCTGTGGTAGAGCCACAGAAAAGCTAATGGGGATGAAAAAGTACATTTTAGCTCACAAGAATCTTGAAATAAATTATAATAGTCTGAAAAAAATGCATGTAAATATGACTTGTATTTGAAACTAAAAAATATATGTAAAAGACATCTCCCTTGTTTGACGGAAGACCTTATACGTGCGGGTATGTTCTACACAATTTTATCATTATATGATAAAAATCTAGTTCTGAAAACTTCTCAAAATATTATTTGACTGAACCAAGCAAGAGACCAGATTAAAATCAAACTTGACTCTGCTATTAAAAAGAGTGAAGCAATGCTTCATTGCAGTATATGAATCCAGCTATAGCAGTCCCTTTCCCTACCTCTTGACCTTGTTGAAATGCATTCTGGTCATGTAATAAGTCCTCTGCTCTTTCCCATTTCTGAAATTTAATTTAACTATGAAGGATATTTACAAACTTTTAAAACCAGCTGAAATAGTGCCCATGTGAAATCTCTGAATTAGAATACTTTCAGATAGTAAGCTTCTCTGTCTTTCCATTTTTCAGTTTAAACACACCTGAAAATAATCTGGACTATTTTAACCATTTTAAAATCTATTTTGGATAGAAGAACAAGACCTGAGCAGGGCTAGCTGAGTCAAGAGTTGTGGAAAAGTGACCCGAAGAACTTTTGCAGTCATGGATGAGTTTCTAAGAAAGGAGTGTACTAAATTTCCAATAAAGCTTACAGGAATGGCAGCCCTTTTCTGTATGCTGGAAAGCAAATCAAAACTGAGCAGTCTCAGTGGAATCACTGCGGTTGCCTGTTGTGCTACCGCCTGTCAGTGGATCAAGGCTTTTATGATCTGAGGCTGGTAGCATCAGAGAGAACTCACAAGATGAAGAAGACAAAAGTAGATGCTCACAAGCATGGGAAGCTCAGAATGGAAAGGTGGGATGCCAGGCATAGAGCTAATACATTGCTGCAGTGATAGTCCATTCCTGAAACAGGATTTCCTTCTTAGAGGACAGCCCACAAATGACGTAGCACTTTTCTGGAAATTTTACTATGGTAAGCACCTGGTTATGATGTCATTTGCATAATGAGGGGTTCATCTCATTTCATTGCTGAAACTACACCCCTGTCTGGAAGAGCCCTTAGATAAGCATATTGACTTGGAGAGATCTCATCTTAAGCCATAAACTATAATTTTAAAACTAGAAATCCTACAGTCATGTGACAAAGCCAAATTAAATAACCAAATTATGTTTTAGGTGGGAATCTATATGTGTGTTTAGTGAAACTCCAGTAGCCAGTTAATAAAAGGAGCAGACATATTGTAGGTCTGATAACATGGCTTTATTGTCCTTTTTTAAAAAAATGTAACATACGGCATGATCCCAAATGAATTGGACTTTTCTCAACTATTTATAAAGAGTATAGTATATTGTATTGAATGAACATAATATGCTTAGAATCCTTTGAATGTAGCTTTTTGCTTTATGCTTAACTGAATGCACAATTTATATTTCTTCCACCTTCCTCTCCAAACATTTCACACACATATCTTTTTTTAAAAAAAACTGCAAATCAATCTATGGTATGTTAGTTCCCATCTAGTGCCATATTCTGAAAGGCATTAGCCTCTCTCTAGGGCTTATGGATGCCTCAAACTCTATCATCTCTGTCAATGAATGACAGAGAACAACATACAGATATTTGATTCTACAACTTTTCCATAGGCAGTCTGAATGAAAATTCCACAAACCATAGTTTGACAGCTTCTGCCCAGTTCCAGTCTCTATTATAGACTCTGCCCTGAACTGAAGAATGTTTAATTGTTCATTAACATATTTCTTTGATGGCATATACAGGTTAAGACTATCAGCAGGAAAGTTTGGTTTCTGTCCAGTGGAAACTAAAAGCAGCAATTGCATAAAAATAAATGGAAAAGAACCACCTGGAATTGCAGTTGTGATAATCAAATTCATGTAGGCACATAATAGCAAATCAATAGTTTTGTAACGTGCATGTTGAGAAGAGCTACAAGGAAATTTATACTAAAGCTTGAAAACATGAAAAATTTCCCTCGACACAAGCATTTGCTCCTGTTAGTCTAACAAGGTTTTGGTTTTTTTGTTTTTTGTCCTAATGAGGTCCTCCCACTGTAAGAGATAAACAAGCTCCAAGTGTCATTTTCTGCCTCTGCAGACTATCAGCACAGCTTTGATTTAAGGACTTGCACTTTAATCACCCATCATGTGTCATTACCCCGACAGGTGGCAGCAGCCGCAAGATACAAGCTCCAATAAATTGCATCGAAAATCACTGAAGCAATCTTTTGTTGATTTTCTTTTACAGCTATTCAATGGCAGATCAGCTGTCATAACAACACAGTGCCCATGGCAGTAGGGTGAAATTAAATGTGAAGTAAGTTCAAGGTAGCGGGTATAAAAATGGAATATCCTTTTTTTCACCCTGTTGATTCTAATGCATTTTTTTTTTAATTCTTGTAAGTAATGTGAAGTCTGTGGCAACGGGCTGAAATCAGGGCTGTATTTTTGTGGCATAATTGTCACATGTACCCTTGGACAAATATGCTTAACTATGCAA